ACGCCGCCGCCGCCGACTCCAGCGACTCGAATTTGAGCGCCGCTAGCAATGCTTCAGCTTCAGGTGACCGAGAGGCAAAGCTTCACGGACTGGACCCGGCGGCTGACGCCGGCCACCGCCTGCTGCCCGCCTTCAGCGAGAGCTGCCAACTCTGCGACCGCCGCTTCAAGTCAGTGAAGTGGCTGAAGGCGCACATGATGGCCGACCACGCGGAGGTTCTGGCGATGATGCGCACCAGCGGAGAGCTCAGTGCCGCCTTTGCCGCCTCTAGTGGCGGTGGGGGCGCCACCGCCCAACAGCTGGAGACGCTCGGTCGGCTGTGCTTCGTCTGCGGACAGATGTTCGCCGACCGGTTGACGATGCACATTCACCTGGTGAAGGAGCACAAGGTGAGCGGCGAAGAGCTGGCGATGAATCTGGCCGGCAACCTGAAGATGGCCGCGCTGATGGCCGCAGTGACTGGCGGACAGAATGGCCAACAGCAGCAGCAGGAGAACGCCGCCTCTGAAGACGGCCGAACGTCGCTCTCCCGAGCCTCGACGCCCTCTTCACCCAAACCTCAAGAGGGGGGAGGAATGCCCGCAGCACTTCAACAACTGCTGCTGGCCAAGCAGTCAGGCATGCCCATCAATCCAATGGCACTGCTGGCCGCCTCCGCCCAAAGTGGCGGCAATCCCTGGGCGATGCAGGCGGCGATGATGGAGTTTGAGGCGGCGGCGGCGGCTGCTGCAGCAGCTGCTGCCGGTGGAGATCCCAACGCCTTTCAGCACCTTCAGCAGCTGCAGCAGCTTCAACAGCAGCAACAACAGTTTCAACAGCAGCAGCAGCAGTTTACCTCGCCTGGAGGAGGAGTGTTTACCTCACCTCCAGGAGCAACAGCCACCGCCTCCAGTGCCACCCCGACCGGACCCGGCAGCAACAACAACAACAACAACAACAACAACAACGGTCGACCCTCCGGTCATGGGAACACCAAAAACCCGCCCGGAAAGTTTGTCTGCAACCAGTGCTTCCGCACGTATCGGCACTCGCACTCGCTGCAGAGGCACATTCTCGCTTCGCATAAGAAGCCGGCGGCGGCTGCTTCAACACAACCACCACCGCCGACTTCTTCCTCCTCCTCGATCATGGCCGTGCCACCGCCGACGTTGTTTAGCAAAATCGTCGACGGTCTCAATGGACCACCACCACCTTCTTCTTCAACTTCGACGAGTGCTTCAGCAGCAGCAGCTACCAGCAATTCATCAACAGGAGGAGACGGCGGCCAGCCGGCGAAGCCGCGCAACAAGCGCTACCGCTGCTCAAAGTGCAACAAAAAGTTCCGCACCCGAGAGCTCTGTCTGGTGCACATCAGGGCGCTGCACTCCATCACCTCGACGGCGAACAACAATTCGAACAACTCCAACAACTCAGCAACCACCACTCCCACCAAACCTGCCTCCCCTTCTCAGCTTCCACCAACAACGGCAGCCGGAAACTTTACCAGTCCTCGATCATCAGCGATTTCCACCGAGCAGCCACTGGCGCTCAATCTGCGAACATCATCTGTGGATGAGCCGCAGCAGCAGCCGCAGCAACACCCTCTACCACCGTCGCCTTCAGTGAGCAGCGAGGATGACCTGCTCAGCCATCATCAACAGCAATTGCAACTTCAGCATTTTCAGCAGCAGCAACAGCTTCCTCTTCACCTCTCTTCGCCCCTTCTCAGCGGTGCACTTCCTTCTTCTGCCAGCGTCTCCTCCTCCTACCTGCCTCAAAGTCCACTTGAAGAGGAGGAACCTCGCCATCATCATCAGCATCAGCAGCAGCAACAGGAAAAGAATCTGCCGCTAAAGAATCTGCCCACCACCAGCGAGGCACTGGCGCAGAAGATTCTCAACCTCTCGACTACAAATCCACCACCACAACCTCCTCCTCTTCTTCCTTCTTCTTTACCTTCACTGACTGACCACGTCGAGGACCCCTCAGCAGCAGCAGCAGCAGCTAGTCCGGAAAGTCAGCAGCAACCTTCCCTCTCACGACCATCTTTGGTAAGTGTTTTTGGAAACCTTTGTTTTTAGCTTTTCAATCTAACCAATCAATCACCCCCTTTCCCTCTTTACCATTTTTTCCCTTCCAACAATCAACTTAGATTTGCGTCAATGGCGAAAAGTTTTAAAAAGGCTTTTTCAGCTATCTGTCGGCGTTTTTGTTGTTGTGACCACTACACAACTCTGAATTGAAGCATTCCGATTTTCGTGCTACTACACACTATTGTGACTCGAAACTCTTCTTTCTTCTTCTTCTCTTCTAAACTCCTCAACTCATCAACGATGTCCCCATTCTTCTTCTTCGTCTTTTTTTTCTCCGTCAGTATTCTCTCACCTCTCTCCTCCCTCTCTTTGTGATGTGTACAACTCGCACTCTTTCTATTTATACCTTCACCGCGCGGACCGAACATGCTGTGCATTTTCATCACTGTACCATTTTCATCCCTTCATCGCCTCTTCATTCTTCTCCTCCTCATCATCATAGTCACTGAACACGCCGACGTTATTTGCATTATTGTGCACTATTGCACTTCCCATATCGCAATCTCATCTCATCTCATCTCCATCTCCATCATCTTCATCTTGCAAGCCAACACTAACACTAGTCTTCACTTTTTCATCACCTTTCTCTCTTTGCTGCATATACTTTTTCACCTTTTCCCTCTTCTTCTTCGTTGACTGGCTTTCCCACCCTCACCTGAATCATCATCATCATCATCATCACTTACTTCATTGCAACTGCTGAAACTGAAATCAAAACCACTCTGCACAGCACTTTTTTCTTCTTATTGCAACCAGCACCGAACCAGCACTCAACAACACCCTCACAATTGCCACCACCCCAAACCGTAACGGAAATCAAAATGAACCTGACCTTACTGACCCTCTCTCTCTCTCCATTGCAAATATGACCACCACCATCACAACCTTTCTAAGCTTAGCTTCTACTTCTTCTTGTTACCACTCACTACCCGCTACCGCTTGTTAGTTAGCAATCCTTGAAACAGTTGATCACAGTTTATTCTCTCTTTCTGTCTTTTTCTGTCTTTTCTTTTCTCCCATTCCTTACCATTTTTCCTCTCTTTCTCCCTCTTTTTATTTAACAAACTCCGCACACATCATCTTTTTTCTAATATTAAATATGACTTTTTCGATTGCAAAAAAACAACTTCGTTTGTCAGTTCCTGTTCGGATGTGTCACACTGCCAGTTGCTGACACCACCTGGTAAAACACACACACAGGCACAATTACTTTGACGTGGAGGGTTCCACTTCAGTCAGTGCGCACAGTCCACTGGTCACACTACCAAAACATCAGCAAATAAAATTCATCAAACTGATATGCTCAAACGATAGCACCGGCAGCCATCGAAGCGAAGCCAGTGCGCGAGCAGTGATATTTTCTCTCTGTGAATGGAGATTTTTGTTTTGTCGGTATTCTCGAGTGTTCGACTACTCGCCGAGAGAGGAGCATTGTCTGCCGGTGCGCATTGTCTTTGCCATTGTGGTCGATTCGATAGTTTTAGACACTGCTGCTACAAATACCTTTTTCACAGGAGGTGCCTGATGCGTTCGGAAACGCTTTGACTACTTTAGTCTCTCGAACCTTGACCGTTTGATTGTCTGTACCACTTTTTATCACCACAGCCACCACCACCACCACCACTTCACCCCTCAATGACTGAAGCAAGGTACACCGGCGAGGCGAGAACTGACCGCGCTTGACCGGCTGCCTGGAACCACAAACAAGCAAAAAGGTTGCCGAAGGGGCCGAGGGGAAAAAGGTTGACGAGGAAAGAGCAAAGCGAAACAACCGGCACTGCTGCCTCATTGTTCAGTCATTACATTATTGCTATCTGCTTACTGCTAATTGTTTAAAACTGGGACAGGACACAGTTGAGAGTGGCTGGATGGCTGGCTGGCAGGTTGGCTGGCCACTGAGTCAACATACGACAAATAAATTCACACACAGACACACACACAAAAACACACAAAACACACAAAACACACATTGACTCAAAATTGACAACAACAAAAAATAGGCGTATGAATAAAACTGCAGCATATGCGCATTTATTAATAGACTGAAAACAGACTGACTGAATAGATGAAAAATTTTGCTTTTGCCGCAAATTAATTAATCACACACACACACACACTTCAAACACTTGAACTTGGGTTTTCAGCTTTTGGGCGGCTCAGCAGCTGCAGAGCACCAGAATTCACATTGTCACCGCTGGCGCCCATTAAATCACTAGTCTCTTTTCAGATAGGCGTTTCGTTTTAAAAGCACACAATTTTAACTTTTTTTTGTGCTCGATCAAGGCGCACACAATTTCATTAGTAGAAGGAAAAAGAAGCAATGTACTAAAAAGACTACTTTGTAGTCAGCCAGTGCCAGCCAGTCTTCCAAAATTGGTTAAGTTGCTGCACATATGGTGAATTAGGTGCGCGCACACACACACACACACACACACAGTCACAGTCACTTTTGACAGGCTAAAAATTCTGGTGAACAACCCAAACACACACTAACTCACATTATCGGAAAGCCATTTTTCATTAAACGAGGCAAACGAAAGACAAAAATTAAACTTTTTTCTCTACTTTACTTTACTTTGCTTTGTCAGTCTGCTGTAAAATGTTGAAAGATTTTATGTCACATTTTGCTGGCACACGCCCTGCACTTTGAAAAACGGCGGCAGCTTTTGCTGCTTTGACTTTACAGCCACCAAAACCACCACCGGAACACATACACAACTTTGCCTGTTTAATAACCCGATATCCGGGCGGGTTCGACCAATCGATCGACTGAACCATCAAAAAGGGCAAAGCAAAAGCCAAACACTTTGTAGCCTACATTTTACATTCAAAAAACAAACAAACACATTTTTAATCAGCCACAAAGGCACATCTGATCACAACTGCTAACTTTTACAATTTTTATTTTCAAAATCTCATTTTCAACACTCAAACACACACACAGAGGCAAATTGGCGCTCAACGGACAATTTATCAGACGATAATGATAATGACTGTAAAGGAAATTCCTTGAAAAAGCGGAGGAATATCAGTGTCAATGAATTGAAGAGGAGGAGGAGGAGGAAGGGAAAAGGGAGCTGTACAATTCTTAAACATTTTCTTAATTTCTTCTTCTCTTTCTATTCTTCAATGGTACTGAAGAAATGATGATGATGATCATGACCATGCCACCATGGACCAACAGCCAACAACGGGCTGAAATTGCTGCAGCAAAGCTGCTGCAAAACTCTTAAATTATTTTACTAAAGCACAGAGAGATTTCCTTCACTTTTTATTTTTCTTAAGAGCTGTTGCTGCCGCCGTCGCTTCTGGTTCTCCCGAGTTGATATGATTTAATTTAAGTGCCTCCATTTCCACTGCTGCTGCTGCTCTGAGAAATTTCTCATTTGAGAATGTTTGTTGAGCGCTGTTTCGCCTTCTCTCAAAACTTGCAACGTCCATTTGCAACACTGATTACATTCTTTGTCTGTCTGTCTGTCTGTCTGTCTGGGCACTGGCTGTAATGGCTCCTGCTGAACACACTTGCTGGGCCTTAAACTTGGACTTTTTAGATATTTTGTTTATATTGTGCTCATTTGATATTGTGTTTGCCTAAGTACCTCGCCATCAGCTGTAGTACTGGTGGTAGCAGCAGCAGCAGCTATCATCATCATAACTCAGCTAATTATTGCCATTTTTAGCGCTATTTAATAAATACCAAGAGAATATCAAGTTGAAGTGTGCAATGCTGCTGATGATGATGATGAGGACAGTTTGTTGACTGCAACTCTTTTCCTTTCTTTCCTTCCTCTTTGACTAGTCAAATAATGCTCCAGTCATTTAGACAGACAAAATAAAAAAAATTTGTCTGTAGTTTGCAAAATGGGGTGATCATTGGACTTGGTGGCAGTCCTTTTCCTTTTTTTTTGTTGTTGAAGGCGATTAGTGTAAGGTCACCACTGGTGAGTCACCAGTGTTTTGAGCGACAAAATAGCGCATTTTCGAGTTTATCTTTGACTAATCTCCCATGTGAAATACATGCTCTTTTTAAAGTGGCCTTTTAAAATGTCAGAAATGTCTCTCCATCTTATTTCTTCAACGCTAACACCGCTCCTTGAAAACCAAGTCAAAAAAGCTTTTGTTTTTGTCACCCAGCTTCATCTTCTTCTTTTTCTTCATTGGATCTCACTGTTTTTGCACTGCATTTCGTGCCTTGATGCCGTTTCTCATCATTTACACCTGCAACCTTCATTTTTTTCTTTTGCGTTTCCCATTTCTTCTGTCTCTCATTGCGTTTATCGTTTCAAATGGCAACATTTCTTCTAGTCTTTGTAAGCCTCACATTTGGTTTCTTCTTTTTCATATTTTAAACACTTGACTAATACTAATACGTTTTGACATAGACACAAACACAAACACAAATTCAAAAACAACGATTCATGGCTTAAATCCGTTGCTGCTGCTGCTGTTGCTGAAAACAAAACTCATGACTCAGTGCAAGAAAAAAGGTAAGAAGCAGAAGCAAAAATGTTGAAATTGTGTGTGCAAATTTTGTTTCTCGTTTGACTAAAGCAGCTGAGACACACAGTTGAGTGCACATTAATCACCTGCTGCTGCATCATCATCATCATCATCTGTGATGCAAAAGGCAATTAAAATTTTAAATTAAATTGCATACATTACACTGCTCAGCAACAGAAGCAGAAAAAACAGTGGTTGCAACGGCTGCAACATTCTCATTCCCAGCATTAAAAGGAGGATAAGGAGGATAACTTAAGAAACTTTTTTCTTTTCTAAGCTCTCTATCTTAAGCTATCACTCATCTATCGATTGAACTGATGATGATCGAAGCCCCGAGCACGAATTTCTCCTGTACTTCTTCTGCTTCTTCTTTCCTTACCACATTTAGCGGGGAAGCCAGAAACTTAGTGAGGAGATTTTGAAAGCGGAGATAGCTCAGCTTCTTTTTTCTGCTCAGGTGGTGGTGGTGGTGGTGATGCTTTTCTTTTCCTCGCCAGACATTGAGACAGACCTTTCTCTCACCGCAATTTAGAAACAGTTTGTCTCCTCTCAGTATTGCAGTGATAGTTTGTTTCTCTTCTTCTCGTTTTACCACTTGCGGGGAGGACAGTGATGTGAACGGACAGACGAACTGGCGAAATCAGACGAGGAAACTCTCTTCGCTTTACCTTACCTTTACATTGACACACTGAACTTGAACTTGAAAGAGAAGAGAAGAGAGGAAAAGAAAAGTCGGAGAGAGAGCAGGAGACAGTTTTTGAAACAGTTTGACAGTTGCAGACGGGATATGGGATAAAGTTTTTTCTAGATGTTAAGATGCACAGATTTAAAAGCCGAGTGTCATTTCAATTTATGAGAGGGGGGACTGAAAGTTATAATCTTTTAGATGAGTTTTTGTATTTTTTGTAAAGACTGACATATAAAATACATCAAACTATTTTTCATCTTTTTACCGACAGTGAATAATCAGGTGAGGTGATCTACTACTACTACTACTACTACTACAGCAAGCTAATGCGTAGATTTTAATTTAGATTTTAATTGCATTCCGCATTGCTTTAGTCATCAAAATTTTAATTATGAAACACACACACACACACAGCGTAAAAACAACAAAAAGCTTGCACTTGCAGAGTGTGTTCACTATTCAGTCGATTAGTTGCTCTTGTTCGCCTTAATCTTGAGGGTAACCACAAGACAAACCACCACCATCACCTCAAGATTGAAACCATCATCTTAACACCACCACCACCACCACAACATAAACACAGAAGAGCGAAATTAGCATTCAAATTGAGTTTGAAGTCAAAGAGAAGAAGAGAAGAAAAATGAAGAGAAGAAGAAGAAGGGGAGCAGACGTGCAGAATTATTAATAGCTCGCCATTCTAATTAACGTGTGTGTGAGTGAGTGCATCGGAAGAGGATTGAGAGCGTTTGCAGAGATTGTAAGTCGCCGCGCATTGACCACTACCACCACCACCACCACTCGTTTTCATAATTAAAAATTTGCAGTCCGTCAATTCAATTCAGCTAAACATTGCAGTGAATGAATTTGACTAAAAACTGGCAACTAAGAACTAAAAACTAACTAACTGAAGAGGCTTGGCAAAGTTTCCACAAGTGTCTTCTTTAGTCACTGTTTGCCCTCTTCATTTGCACTCTTCTTCACTTGACTCGTCATTAATAATAACAGCCGCAAAAGCATCAGCAAGTGTCTTTCCCACCCGGCACACTCTGTTGCAACCAAACTCTGTTGCTTTCTCTCTCTCTCTCTCTCTCTCTCTCTCTCTCTCTCTGTTACTATTTAATCAAACAGACACACACTCACTCAGACAGACAGAATGCTTGAATTGGTGGTTTGAGTTGTGAAAATGTGTGCAAGTTAATTACTCACTACTAGACCACTGCAAAGAGAGAGAGAGAGAGAGAGAGATGCGACCAGATCGATAAACACATCACCACCACCACCACCACCACCAGGTTTTTACTTCAAAGTTGCTTCAGCTGGCCAACCATATGGAAGAGATGACGATCAAGTGTTTTTTGTTTCTTTTCCCCCAATTTGAGCCAGCTTGTGCTGTGCTGTTAATTGAGGATGAACTTTATGAAGCAAAAGAAAGAAAACTTAAATGAGAAAAGATGCTTCTTTTCATTTGTTTTTCATTTGCTGTTGTCCACGGTGTTGTTACTGTACAGAGAGAGGGAGAGAGCTGCTGATAACTGATGACTTTTATGACACCTCTTCTTCTCTGGTTAGATGGATGGATTAGATAGTGTGCGGTGAAAAAGAAAATCATGTTGATGATCAGCACTGATGATGATGGCCGCATCCTTTTCCTTCCCCTCTTTTTGTGAATCAAAATTGTTGTGCCCGTTCTGATTTGATGATGATGCCGCTGCTGCCGCCGAAAAGTAGTATCTTTTCCCCCCAATTTTTTGTTTATAACGGTTAATGAGATTTTGTAATTGCCTCTAGCCTTTCAGTTCAGTGCTCAGTGCAGTGTCCAGCGCTAATGTGCGCCAATTTTTTCTGCCGCCCGGTTTTTTAAGTAAAAACTCATTTAACTTTAAGGCTGCTGCAGCCGATGCAACTGTTTATCGGTTGAAAATTTTAATTTTCTACTAGATTACAGAAGATATCTTACATTAACCTACTTTTCTCCTGCCTGTCGGAGAGATTTTAAAGTTTTGCACGAAAAATTATTAATTTAGATACGCTGCTGCAGCTGAGGATGAGGATGATGAGGAGAGATGATGGCAGATTCAGCGATCATTAATCAAAACAGATGAAAAAATGCAAAAAGCAGCAAAGGTAGGCAATTGAAGAAGCAGGAAGATGTAGAAGTAGAGGCTTACATTTGAAAATGTAACTTTTCCGCCGATTTATAATTGCACAGTGGATTTAATAGTGGTGATGGTGGTAGTTTAGCTAGTTAGGTAGTGACAAAACTGTTGACTGGGGAGAAAATGAAAGATAGATTGAATGACATTATTCGGTGTTTTCAGTGCTGATAAGCTGGTAGTGAATGTTTTTTCTAGAACGTCCAAGCATGCGATGGTGAAGATATATCCTTGAGGAGAATGGCGATGAAAGGTAAAATGTTGAAAATCAGATTGAAATCTTTGTGTTTTCCGTTTTTCCGTTGGACTGAACTCTGCCCTTATTCTCACTGCTCGTTTTGGAAGTTGAAGAGAAACTCGTAGATCACCTTGGAGAGTGCCATTGTCTCCTCGTCGGCGAAGCCGAGCACTTGGCCCGGCGAAACGACTTTTCCGCCGTCGTTCTTCTCCTCCTCCTTCTTGGTGTTCACTTCCTCGGCAGCAAGTTCCTCGGGCGCCAAAGTGTGCAGCTCAAAGAAGGGCGCCTCGTTGATGTACCGAATGAGCGGATAGGTGTTGGGGCCCAGCGCCGGCAGCCTCTCCACGCCCAGGTCCACCTTGGCGCTGGCGAGGAGCAGGGCGGGCACTCGCCGGTCGGCGGTCAGCTTCGCCTCCCTCGCCTTTCGCTCGTTGCCGAAGATGCGACTCAGCTTCTCGTGCTGAAGCAGGTTCGGCGCACCTGGATCCATCAGCTCGTTGAGGGCCTCGTTCAGCTTCCGGTGCTGGTGCTCCATGTCGGCCACCTCGAAGAGGTCGTGGTCGGCCAGCTCCTTGCTGCCAGTGTACAGCTCGGTGATGTACTTTGTTTTGGTCGGCGGTGGGCGGATGATGGGGCTGCCGGGAATGATCAGATTGCCAGGCTTGCTTGTTTCGATCGATTCAGTCGTCTCTTTTTCCGTCGTCTTCTTCTTCCTTCCCCGCTTTTTCATCTCTTTGGGCTCTTTTTCTGGCTTCTTAGGCGACTTCTTCTCCTTCTTCTTCTTTCGCGGACTCTTTGACTTGGCCGCCTTATCACCACCACCACCACCACCGCTGCCGCCAACATTGTGGTCATGATAAAATTGGTCCATTTCCGCTTCCACCTCTTCTACCTCTTCGCCATAGTTAACATGGTGAGCCTTGTTTCGCCTTGGTCGACTAGTACGCAAAGTAGTGCCTTTCTTTGACGATGAGGAAACGCATCCCGAGGAGGAAGAGGAAAAGGAGGCGGAGAAGCTTGATCCTGGGGAAGACAGTGCCGACATGTTGATCCGCCTTTTTCTGTTTTCAGTCGTACAGTACGGCAAATGGGCAGTTGGAAGGTTCAGAAAAACACATTGACGAGGCTTCGCTAGTAATAAAATCCAAATTCGGTCTTGAGATTTCGCTGACGCGCACGTAAGCAGGGCGAAAAAATACATTCCAAAACAAAGGGCAGTTCACAAATGGCGTTCTGATCTTCGATTCGATTTCCAACAATTTCTTTACCTGCCCAAACCGAGGTTTTTGGCAATCGATATCTAGTAATCTGTCGCTCCCAATTCAGTGAATCAACTCCTGGCAGTCAGATGACCAGTGGTAATTGACAACTAGGACAACATTTGAACCCGGTGATAGTTCCTCTTCCTTCCTTCATTCAGTTTCCGAGATTAGAGCCCTATCGGATTAAAAACGAGCTTAAAATTGCTGCTGCCCCGGTCAGCAGTTGCTCAACTCTCCAGCGGTGATTTTTTCTTGCTTTTTCATTTTCCATTTTAGCTGCTGCTGTTGCTGCTGTTGCTGCCCTACGTGACTTTTGTCTTTGCTGCTTCTGCTTCTTCTGTGGTGCTGGCACCTCCAGGGGCTCAGCCGCAGTTCACGAATTTGAAGTGAGTGAATATGTGTCAGAGTTTTGCCAGTAAGTAAATATAAGTGCACCGAGAGTCACTTAAACTTTACACCGCCTGCTGTCTGCTCTCAACTGAACTGAACTAAACTGAGAACTTGTTGCCTACAGTTTAAAATCTGTGTGTTTGTTTGACTGCCTTCTCTAAAAGCTAATATTTTCAGTCACTGTCGTGTTGCGTGT